GCTTATTAGTTTTAGTCGAAGTGTAATAATTTTTATACTTTAAGTCTAGTTTTTGTCGATGAAGATTCTGAATGTTTTATTCACATTTTTTAATCTTTAAACTAATCCAGTTAGGCTAATTCATGTATCAAAAATTAGAATCAAGGTGACACATATAAAAATTTCATTTAGACATTTTTTTTTCTACAAATAATTTCTGCACACATACAAACTGTCTTTTCTCAGTAGTTTTTGACAGGTTTAAGGGGTTATTTACAAGCGCACATACTTTCATTTGAAAAGTTCAATATTTCTCTATTTATGCTCTCAAAAACTTTGACACCATAAATAACTAATCTGAGAAAACTAGGATTTGTACCCAGGTTCATTGTAAACTCTAAGTTATCCATCTCACTGTTAAATGCAGAAAAATAACTTAACACTTAACTGAATTCTTTCTTAATTTGTGACATGTTAGTCTAGAGGTTTAAACTTTGTCCTCTGATAGAGTTGATGATTAAAACTAAACTTTCATCTCTGTCAGAGAAAACTGACCTGTGTTCAGACTGTTTACTTGCAGCACAGCTACACTCACAGTTAACATGATGCATCATTGGGATGCATGATGCTGATGTCAGTGGAGATACTGTATTTCAGGTTGGTCAAGTCAGGCAGTCTGTCTGTCTGTCTGTGTCTGTGTCTGTAGTTTTATGGTTAACATGAATCTTGCAACTCTAACTTACCGTAACTGTCATCTTGTGTTATTTAATTAACATAGTTTTGGCTTCATTCTGTATGTAAAGTGTCCTTTGGCTTTGATTACATATAAGGCACCTAAAATCTAATTTTCCGTTGTCATTATTGACTAATCCATATTATGTGTCATATGAAATATCTAGTTACAGTGGTATAAAACAAAGGACAACAGCAAATCCTGACACAGGACAAACTGCCATCAAACAATATTTTGTGTTTTTACTTCAATAAGTAATTGATTACCAAGAGTATTGGTGATTATTTTCCGTTGATCAGTCAAATTATTGCTTCTACACTACTTAAGCTAGAAAACAAAACCAAAAACAAAGATATAAAAAACTAATTAAGGTTTCCAACATCACACACTTCCAATGTATGTTGTTAGTTTTATGTAGCTCTGGTCAGGAGAAGATGACTGGAGGGGAGGTGATATTCTGTTTCTCTCCATGGTCATGTCTTTGGATTGTTGAGCTGATCAGTCAGACTCTACTTCTTCTGCTTCTCCTGCAGTAGTAGGCATACCTTGGGGCGACAACACCTGTTCTAATTATTTGAGCCTCCTTTTCAGAAATAGGAGTCCAAATGATCTTCTCTACTTGAAAGGCATGTTTCCATTTGCTCCAAATGAAAAAGGAGGATTCCTGGAGAAAATGGGCGGGTGGAAACCTGGAGGCAATAGATAGATTCCTGCTGCTGCTCTGGATGTTTGTGTGTGTGTGTGTGTGTGTGTGTGTGTGTGTGTGTGTGTGTGTGTGTGTATTCATTAAATGGTATAGTGTGGTTTGATTCAAATAATTTAAAAAAGCAGTTACCTGGGTGTCCTAATGTGGGCCAGTGTGTGTGAGGAGGAGACAGTGGAACAGAGACATACTCTGGCTGTGTGAGTGTGTTCTCTGCAGAACGACAGGCTCATACCTGCCCTGAGCTTCTGCCTTTTTGTTGGCTTTAATTAAGAACTTGGAAATTAGTGCCCTGCTGAGTTGAAAAAGAAGACAGTTTAGCTTTTGGCAATACACACCCCTTTGTCATTTCACAATCTGCCTGATTTGGCTCACTTTACTGGACTAGGGAATAGTTGTGTGTGTGTGTGTGTGTGTGTGTGTGTGTGTGTTACATGTCCATATGTTTGACATCCTTCCTTTTTTTTAAAAACCTAAAGAAGTTGCGTTACATTTGCAGACAGCTGATGACGCTACATAATGCTGCTGGCTGTAATGTGCTGAGTTTGAGAGCTGCACTCTGAATGTTTGGGAATGTCCCATCTTTTTATGTGATTTTTGTACATCATGCACATGGTCTGCTGTGATTTTAGAAAGGAAGTCATGTGACCAGGTAATCAGCTAATCTCTGAAACCATACAGCGCTACTTTAAAGGTCCAGTGTGTAGGATTTAGTGGCATCTAGTGGTGAGGTTGGGAGAAGTATGCCGAAATGCAAAATTTGAATGACCAAAATGCAAAAATGTGAATGACCCTATTAAGAGCCAGTGTTTGTTTTGTCTGTTTTGGGCTACTGTAGAAAAAAACATGACAAATTCTGTGGAAGAGGGCCTGCCTTGTAGATATGTAGACATTTTAGACATTAATGGCTCACTCTAAGGTAACAGAAACACAATAATTCTTAGTTTCAGGTGATTATATACTAATAAAAACATAGTTATAAATAGTATGCTCCTAAATCCTACACACTGGACCTTTACCCTCTATAGCAGCTTTGACTTTAGTTTGTACATCTCTGTGCACTCTTAGGTTCACACCAAACGTGATGCAAATTTCTCGGGTTGCATTACTTGTGCGAGTTTGAACGCTAGAATATTTTGTGTTGACTCGCTGTATGTGTGCAAATGACATGACAGTGTCTGCATGAAATCACTGAATCGATGATTGAACTTCCGCTGGTACATTCTCAGCATCATACATCCCTGGAGGATCTCAATGCTGATTGGCTATCATGGTGCAAACTGGTCGCTAAAGTTCAGATTTTTTCAACTCTCTTGAATAAGCGTATGATGCGAAATTGCACCACTTACTTCATTTGCACTGCTTAATTTGCATATTTTGCATCATTGTTGTTATATCCATCGCGTCCATTATGTTACCCAGTTGGAATTCAAGTCTAATAGCGTCTTTGAATTGACTTAACATGTTATTCACTAGCACAAATTGTGTTATTTACGCCCAGTGTGAACACAACATGAGGTTGCTACTGTGTCCTCACAGTAACAACTGAAATAGCAGCCGTGCTCGTTGGACTTTTTTTTTGCCCTGGTTTGGGCTTGCCAACATGAGAGACCTGTGGACACTACTCAGGGCTGCAGATACGCAAATACGTGTTTTTTGAAAACACTGTCATAAAATTTATGTCATAGATTATTGCTGTCAAACAATGTGTAATTCTGATATCCTTATACACACATGCAAAGATTACATGCAACTCAAAGCTCAGGCAATGAAAGACCACCACATTCTCACTCCGACCTCATCACATATCGACGTTTGGTCATAGGCTTTCCACGTCCAGATATGACGTCCAAGGTACCCTGGGTGCATTGATTGTTGATGTTCTGGGACACTGTGTCAACTTCAGCCTGTTACATGCATTGTCTGTTTTCAAAATACACTTCCGTTTTCACAGGAAATGTACAGTTGTCATACAGTCTCTTTCAAAATGAACACACTACGTCAGTACAACACCGCAAATTGATGTTTTTTTTTTCATTTAACAACAAACAAGCACATGGTTGGTTTTAGGCACCAAAAGTACGTGGTGGGGTTAAGGCAAAAAGAACAGGGTTTGGCTTTACTGTCTTACGGGAAGCAGGCATCTTGGGTGAAAGTTTTCCATGACTTTGGAGTGAGCCCAGGTTGGCTTAGCACTCTTGGGATATTCGGCCGTTAGACGACACCATAAATGTGACAAGTTTATATCGCATAATCAGCTACAGGGATTTGTAAGAAATTAGGTTTGCACCATCTTGTAATGAGTCGATGCATAAAATTTGACAATACTTGCTTAATGTGGGCATGGCTTATTACAATAAATCCAAATTTCTAGAGATTTCACAAGGAACTTATATATTTTCAGTAGTTAAGTAGGAAGGTGATTGTCTTTTAATGCTAAGGTTAAGAGTTCAAAACCCGCTTGTGCCATCCTGTATGTAGCCTGAATCTTTTGACACTTCTCACAAAACAGCACTATTTGTGTACAAATTAATAGACATGTGATACAGTTTCAGATATGGAATTAAATAAAAATTCAGTGCAAATGTAGTGCGAAACACATTTTCATTTTCACATTCTGTGATGACCACAATCAATAATTTTAAAGAACAGTCTTACTTCTTGTCCGTTCAAACAGAAACAAGCATTCAAATGCTCATAGTCTGCTTGGATCCCCATAAATGCTGCTTGCAGCTTTAATGTTGTGTGCGTCTGTGAAATTAAATCTAGTAGTTGAAATTAAATTTGATTTATTGTGTTAAATTGAAATTTCCCAAAAAGGCTTTCCAAAGCATCTATACTAAATGTTAGACTATATGGTTGTAAGTGGATCAGTCATGTGTGAAATATTTAGGTGTGGGATGCTGATGCCTCCTCTTTAGGCCTTTATTCAACCTATTGAGGTATTATCTGGGGTCTATGAGGAAAAACACATGATTAACCACACACACTCACTCCATTTACATATAGTAAAGTACACACAGACTCTGTTGACATAACATGTACTTTCTCTTCCATGCCAAAGATCAGTCACCTTTTTTTTTTTTGTATAATTAGATAGCATTCATATATTCCTTATCTGAGCTTCTCTGATGTAGTAAAACTGAGAAAAATGAATGTGGATTAAAGCAACTCATACACAGCTGATTTCTTTTTCCTGACCTTCACTGGTTCAAGCTCTCACCTTGCTGCAGTGATGTGAAAAGATATTTCAGGATGTGTCAGTACACCATGACACCACTACTGAGTACATCCAACCACATCCATCAGTGAGAGGCTGGGTGAACGTTTGGAGTATCCACCTGTGTATAAGCTACTTAAAATTACTATGCACTACACACTTCAAGTTGCATAAAACTGTTCGCTAACCTAAGGTCTTAATTTCACAATACTTCCTAACAAAATTCCTCTGTCCCAAAAAAAGCAACTTTTTTCCCACTCTGACTCTGACAGCATGTGATACAACTTCACCTGCCAGTAAATCTGATTGACTTATGACATGATTGATTAAACTGATCCATTTGGTTTTTGCTCTTTTTTTTCCAGGTTTGGTTCAGCAATCGAAGGGCCAGGTGGCGAAAACAAGCAGGAGCAAATCAACTAGCAGCTTTCAACCACCTGTTGCCGGGTGGATTTCCTCCCACAGGGATGCCAACACTTCCTGCATACCAGCTGCCAGAGTCCAGCTACCCAACCAACACTCTGTCCCAAGGTAGAGAAGATAACACTTTTTAACTGGTAATGTACAGATTGGTGACAAATGATAAGAAACTCCAGCATGCAGTGTGTGTGTGTGTGTGTGTGTGGCCAACCCTCTAATAATTATTAATAAAAATAAAGATACATACAGTAGCACATTTTTTACTTACTTACATATTTATAAATGTATTTCAATTTCAATACACATTGCAGGGGGGGATCTCCCCTAGGAAAACTTGAGCCTTAATTTATGGTGGAAATACCTTGATTTATGCAATGGAAAACTCAAAATTCAGGCTGCAGTTCAAAATAAAAATAAGATGGAATATAATGCAGTAGGCTGAGAGGTATTTTGTACTGCTTTCAGATATTTATTTTCCTGTAGATCAACTTTTGTCATTTACTGTTATCCCTGCAATGAAGAACCATGTTCTGCAGTGAGGTTTAAATGGTTCTGGATGTACAGAGTAGAAGCTGCTCTGACACACAGACACACTCCAGTTTCTACCTTCTTTCTTTAATCTTTAATTAGACATGAAATCAACAGAGTGCTGAAGATAAGAGACTTTAGTGGGGGGAAGTTCGGTTTATTTACATTAAATTCAGCCTCTTACAAACATGGCACTTTTCTTCATGCCATGTTGCAGGGCTTGGTATTATATTTTCTCTTGATGTTACTTTTTCATCAGAACCCTTTCATTTAACCCTGTTAAACCCAAATATAGAAAAAAGAGCAAAACATTTTTTTTTCACCTCTCAGATGTTGTTAAAGGAGGTGTCTGATGCAGAAATTGAATTGAATTGATTTTTTTTTTTTTTTTTTACGTTTTAGTAAGTTTTTACAGAAATGTAATATTGCAACATTGGGCCTGGATGGGTGCAAAATTTATGTATTTGCACTCACACTGTCAGAACAAATATACTGACAACTAAGGGTTCATTTGCAGTTTGGATTGCTTATCAAGCTCTATAACAGTAAATATCATGAATAATAATCACACAATAGTCATATTTTTATGAATCATAATTTATTGGGGAAAAAAAACAGAATGAAAACTTCGGTGCAGACCCAGGACATGCTGGCAGAGCCCTGATTAGTGGGAGACGACGGCAATGACAACTTTGTTCAAAAACCAGTGCCCAGTGTTCATGTACAGTGGTACTCCAAAAAGCAGTTCCTTTCCTCTGAAAAGCAGAGACGGACACTGCACTTCCTGCACAGCGTATTGGAGAAGCCTTTATTTCAGTGTCTGCAGTGTCCTCTCTTTGTCTATTCTGGGAAATGTGCGATCATGTCCTTGTGCATATCCACTGGTGGTACACATGACCTCTTCGGAGCAGTCACAGGTCTCTGTGGTGTTACTGTCATGGATGTTGAAGGGCTCCGTGATGTCACTGGTGATACAGGGCTCCTATTGCCTCAAGATGGTCCCCCTCTCCTTGGTGTGTTGACAGTTGATTTTGTCTGAAAAAGATGAGAAAAAGATCAATTATAATGTCAAACATACATCGAAAACTGTATAATCAGTGAAATACTGAATAAGGTAAACAACAGAAATGCATTCTTACCAGGATGAGAGAAGATGCTAATTGCACCTGAAACCCTCTCCTGTTCAGCTTCTCTTTCTTGGGAGTATTGCAAGCTTTGCAGTCCAGCTTGTAGAGGAGCCAGGCATTGATCACGACGAGGATGACTGTAAAAAAAAAAAAAAAGGTAAATGACTGGCAGCTACGGCTGCCAAACAAAAACCGTCAAATAAAAGTAAATATTGTAATTCAAATAAAGTGCAAAAACATTAAATTTACAGAAATTGTCATTAAAGGTTCTGCAGAAAAATACCATTATTTTACAGATTTTTACTAAATTATTACAATCAAACACCTTCAATAAAGTGACGATTCTAAAATTTCTGCAGAAAAATATCGTAATTTTACTGATTTTTACTAAATTATTATTATCAAACACCTTCAATAAACCCCAAAACACCTTTAAAATACAGTCAAATGATTGGCAGCAACGGCTGCCAAACAAAAACTGTAAAATGAAAGTAAAATATCCTAAAAAACCTTACATTTACAGACATTTTCATCAAAGGTTCTGCATAAAATTCCATAATTTGACAGATTTTTTCTAAATTATTACAATCAAACGCCTTCAATAAAGTGTCAACACATGCTCAAGATTGTAAAATAACAAAGTAAGAAGACTGAATACACTGCATAAAACAGATTAAAATCATCTGTAACTTGCAGTGTTTGTTTAGATGTAAAATAATGTTAAAAAAAACTGTAGGAGTACAAACTCCAATATTTAATGATTCAGTTTTTTGTAGAATTACAGTTTTAAAGTAACATATTTAATATTCTGGCAACGTAAACAGAGTACTGTCTGCTTTTAGATTGCTAATTATTAAATGTTTACCAAAATTTAAAGGCATTCAGATGGTAGTAGGCACTGCAGGAAAAACACAGATAATCCAGGCACCCATGAGGTGCCGAAAAAACTAGCAGTGGCCTGCGGTAAAAAAGTTGATCCAGAGTCAACTTTTGCCAGAGCGCAGCCTGACGCTGCAGTAAGGTGACGCAATGCCTGCTACCATCTTATTCTACCAGCCCTTATTCATGTCTGTCTTAGCACTCCCATCAGAAAAATGTGAACAGAATAAGGAAGACGTGGATTCACAACACGTTTCACAGGTGTATCATAACAAGGTAAAAACAGATATACCTAAAAACAAAAGATCCCAATTGTTACACCAAAATAAAACCACCATCTAATAATTTTCTTTCCCTCAATGTTCTCCTGAGAATTGAATAAAGGACGGATGATGATGACTACATGTCTTTGAAAATGGTCTGTTACCCTTTCAGTGTGCCAACTTTGAGGAAGGAAGACAAAAATAAAAGTTAGTTCTTCTATCGCTATTGGTGGAAATGTCTTGCAAATGTACTTTTATGAGATCATCAACCCCCTAAACCACTTTTTTCAGCTGAAAACTATCTGGGTATTTAGCAATGTTTCCAAATTACCCAGAGGTAAGCAGGTAGCAGATCTTCAGAAAAGGTAGACACATCTCGATTTCACCAGTTTATTTGGCCATGTCAACTAAACATGCTAACGTTTCGGCCTGGTGGCCTTCATCAGAGCATTTCATGCGTTAGCATGTTTAGTTGACATGGCCAAATAAACTGGTGAATTGGAGATGTGTCTACCTTACCTGAAGATCTGTGTGTGCTACCTGCTTACCTCTGGGTAATTTGGATGCAACTGTAGTTTTGGTTTAGTGCCACACACCAATAGTGAAAGAGCACATCTTAACAAAGACCTACTACTATTTAGCAATGTTGTTGATTGATTCAGGTCTAAATCTTGACATTTTAGTGCAAATAGTTTAAAATCTGTATGTGGAGTGCCCTCTACAGGTTGAAACCTGGCTATTACATTTGAATTTTATCTGGAGGCAGATGACGTATTTGGAGGCACCTCACAGTGCACCCCACACCCCAAAATCATAATTAATAGTATGTAATCACAATTTAAGCTTTGGAATAGTGGTCATATCTTACATACTGCAGTTGATACTTACCAATGATGGACTAGGGTGCCTGTTCTCCCCAGTAAACCCTGCTCCAATGCTTGTCCTAAAAAATATAAGCAAGTTTCTCATCATTAGCAGTCATCTGTGTTGGAGGTAAGAATGTAAAATGTACTCATAATGAACCAGGCAGTTGCACATACATAACAAGGCTGTGTCAAATACTGTATTACATCTTTGTAACTTTCTCCAAGACAAGCACAAGCAGTATCATATAGAGCTGCAACAATATGAGTCAACACAGAGCTGGCGAGTTCAGCGCGCAGGCTGCACAGAGGAATACATGACGTGAGTCGGTTAGTTCCAGATAAACTTTTTTCCAACCAATTAATGTACTGGAAAAAATAGTATTTATGGCGTACACTTAAACTGTGGTATTATTTTGAGATGGGAGTTCATGTAGGCAGTGAAAATACGCTGTTTGCCTGGCTGCACTCTGAGCTGCTGTGGGTAACTAAGGGAGAGCAGAGAGCAATCTACTACATTTAATATAGTTAGAGGGTATTTTGTACATCATACAACCCCACTTTAAAAAACTGAACTATCACTTTAAGCCCAGGAAAACAATATTATGATCTACAAAATCTGACAATATAACAATATCTAGTCTCATATCACAGTAAGATCTAATATCGGTACATTGTCCAGCCCTATTGGAACAGAACTTGAATGAAGAAAATGTATGATTGAAAAAAAGATTTTCGCTTATTTTAAAGGCTTAAAGGGATGCATAACAATGCCATTTTCACTGTTTTTCCATTTCTTATAAAACTGTATGGTAAGTGTTGTTAGTGTGGTAACACGTTATAGCTTATAATCATAAATAATAATGAGCAAATAAAAAATCTGAGTGACATCCCTCAAGGCAGTTTTGCCAGTTTTATTGGAGGTATTAAGAAGTAATAAAAGAGCTGATACCACAATACATTTTTTCATTTCAACAATGCATATTGTCACATTTTGATATCATAATGTATTATATTACAATGCACTGTTACACCCCTCAGTGAAAATATTCTGTATATAGCCTACACTTCAAATGATATTGATTTTTTTAAAGTGACTAAAATACATTTGTTGCTGACTCCACCCACAGCAGTACATGGCTTAGCTTCTGTGGTATTCCTGCCCATTTTTGCAAATTGGGAGCGTCCTAACCCAAATCTACTGCAGAAAAGGGAACTGTCCCTTTAAACTCAGGAACAGTAGATGAGTAAAATATTGTCTCCAGGGTCTGGAGCCAGACTGGAGCCTTGGTGTGGATTATGCATATTCTGCCTGCCTCTGTGTTCAGGTTTTATCTCAAAAAAAGATAATTGTCAATTCTTGGGAAAACAATCAAAAATTAAATATGTGCTGACAAACTGGCAGTAATATGGCCACTAGTGTGCACAATATCCATTCACTGTCTTTATGT